AGATTTTAAGAAGTTCCAACGAAGAACATGCATTCATTAAATAGGTAATTGAGGTTTACGTTATCAAATTGTTCGTTCGCGTCAAAATTGGCAGTGGTACGCTTGGGATATGATAATGCTAATGATAGTATTGGCCGTTTCCTTATAAGGAAACATTTGGCATTCATTGACCACACAGTGAGATTGTTGTTTGTTTATACGTACATTACACGACATTCAATCTTGTGCTTTGGATGATAAGAAAAATAAATACATCATTTTTTTTCGTAAATTTGTTAAAAAAATGTTAAAAGTTAGAAATGAATTGAACATCTAGCATTTTGATTTGACTTAAAGATGACCATTAGTGTAAAAATACGGTCACCATGTGAAATAAAAAATGAAATTATATTTTTATACGATTACACAAAGGTGAAAAACGAAAAAAAAGCAGAAAAGATAAATAAATAAATAAAAAACAGGACATTATGCAAAAGAACATTTTTTTTAAAGTTTAAAAATTTTCTAAAATCAACCAAAAATTGAGATTCAGGTTTATATATAATTTTCTATTTGAAATGCACCAAAATATTTTACTGGAAAATAGTAAATTTTTAATCCTTTAGCTTTCCTTTCAATTAAAGCTAAAATGAAATCTTCAAGAATGCTTTTTCATTTTTAAAAATTCATTTTAAACCTTAGGTATCGAAAAAATATACCGAATTAGGGGAGGTATCTTTTTTTAAAACTTTGTTAAGTTTTTTTTTTTCGGCAATGAAAAAGTAAAAGACCGTAAGAAATTATTTTCTTGAGTTGGAACATACGAGAAAAATCTACCATATCAAAATTTGCAAAAGGTTTCTATGTTTTAGTTAAGAAGACCTTAGAAAATTTTAAGGGCAGGAAATACTAAATGAAATCAAAAAACAAGAATTTCAGATCAGATTTTCTTCTGGTCAGTATAGATTTTTCATTTTTGGTGTATTTTCGTCATGTTGGGATAAAAAGTTATTCAACATTTTTGCAATATGTTAATAAAATATAGTAAAAAATCGTACTTTGCAAATGGGTAAATTATTATTGTGATTGTTTCAGTTGAAATATTTAAAATCTTTTCCTTAAAACAATTTTTCAGGAAAATAGGTTTTATTCACGTCTAGTAGCCGTTGTGGATCTTTCCAGTATTGATGGGTGTTTCCTTCCTAACCTTTTATTTAAAGTACTGTGGAATGTCAACATCTTGATTATGTCATTATTTTCTCTTCGAGTTATATGTGCTATCCATTTTAGTTGCTGCTGCTGTGGAGCGCCCTCAAGTAATGTGGCGTCTGTTATCTGGTACAGTTCTTTGCTTGTGATTCTGTAGCGCCAGTTCACAATGTTCAAGAAAGACGATCTTTGCAAAGATTCTCAGGCTTCAGTCGCTCAAAGCCATTTTTAACAATTGATCTTTTAATGGTCTAAAATGGCATGTTGTAATTTTTTGAAGATAAATGGCTTAATAGTCCCCACTGCCATCCATTTATCCTCAAAACATTACTAAATACCAGCACAACAAAAGTCTCATTTTATGACCATTATGGCAACATTTACACCCAAACTAATGGTGTTAGCATGAGAAATCCTCTCGGCCTGTGCTTCTCTAATTATTACATGTCCCGTTTAGAAAACGCGATATTTAAACAGGTCTGTATACCTAAAATATATGTCCGCTACGTAGACGATATTTTGATTTTAGTGAATAACACAAAAGAAGTAGATACACTCAAGATCATATTTGAAAAAAAAACCAAAAAAAAACACTCTACCCTTAACTTTACCTACGAATTTAGTCAAAAAAATAAACCCCCTTTCTTAGACGTTCTCGTAGAATACAGTAACGACACTTTTACCACCTCATTGTATATATGAAAAAACACGAGCCGAAACTCTTGCCACCTTAACTTTAAGAGTGAATTCTCACTCAGATACAAAATAGCAGGGATAAAAGAAGTTACTAAAAAGATCACATCAGAATTCATCCTCTCGACTACTCTTCCTTAAAAAAACTCAACAATGCAAAACAAACACTAGTTAATAATGGCTTTCCTAACCATCTTATAGACCACCAAATTTCTTCCTAAAGTAAATAATAATGATAAAAATAACATAAATATTTTCTAGAAAAGCCGTCAACTATAAACAAGATGAATTTTCACTTAGAAATATCATAAAGAAATACACTACCCCAAGTGATCCGAACAAATATATATATATATATATATATATATATATATATATATATATATATATATATATAAATATATATATATATATATATATATATATATATATATATATATATATATATATATATATATATATATATATATATATATATATATATATATATATATATATATATATATATATATATATATATATATATATATATATATATATATATATATATAGGTGCGATAGGTATTTGTCGCCATTTTATATTTTAATTCCGCGCATACGCGTTGTTTTTCATTTTGTCGACTGCACAGTATAGTAGGGTCAGTTAGGTACCGTCTGTGAGAAAATTAGTAGCTCCAATACGAACATTTCAGAGTGTGTGAGTTTCAATCTGTGGAGAGTGCAGAAGATTCGGAAAGAGTTGTATGAGTCTAATGGTGATTACGATGGTACGACAGCACGAAGACTCACTATGATCGTTCTGATAAGAAAAGAACTCCCGAATTTCTTGGTGATGACCTCAGACTCAACACGGAGGCCTACTTCAATTGCCTTGAGGCGATAGATCTGACCTGGGTCAAGAGGGTGGCTGCTGGAAGAGCCTATGCCTGGCAACAGGAATCATCACCATGTCACACAAGCAGGAGAACCCTGTCATGGCTGTCAGACAATTTCTGCGAGCATGTCACCCCTTAAATTTCGCCACCTATTCCTCAGACTGCCAACCACCTTTATTATTAAGTGTGCGGCAAGGTTGATTGAGAAAGTAACAAAACTCTTTGGAACACCAAAGATGAACAAGGCAAGGATTATGGCAGCATTCACCAACTTAAACAAGGAGACTTCCAGAAGTGCTGCGGGAGATTCCAAAGTCGTCTGGAGGCCGTGGTTGAAGCCAATGGCGATTTTATTGAATAAATTTACTCTTTGCTTATTAAAGATATGTTTGTGTAATTTTGGTAAATATATCTGTTAAAATGAGATATCAGTGTTATTTTCTTTTTTGCGTAATTTAGACGACAATCTATCCATTGCACCCTATATATAGGCCTAGTAAATTAATAGTAAACAAATAAAATATAATAACATATTTTTAAAATATTTATATATATATAAGATATTTTAAAACTTGAATTTATTAATGTTATATATATATATATATATATATATATATATATATATATATATATATATATATATATATATATATATAAACTGAACATTAAGTCAACACTCATATATATATATATATATATATATATATATTCATGTAAAACAAGACATAGAAAGATAGAGAGAGGAGGAGGAGAGATGTGCACTTAAACACACTATAAAATTATATTTCTTCTGAATACTCCTTTGGCGAGTTTAAGGCGTTACAAGGATAGTTGACGTGTGCATACCAGGCTCACACCAACCAAACTGACCGCGGTGTGAATGCCCACCCGACCAAGTATTTCTACCCAAATAAGAATGATTTTACGGCATACAGACAATTAAATAGAATGAACCTTACTGCACATAAACAAGCACTCTTCTATTCACTTACTCAATAGGTAGTGTGACATTATTGAGCAATTTTGAGTACTCTTTGACCACCGCATCCATAATTACTGAGTAGATTCTCACATGTCTTATTCCGGTTCCCTTTTGGCAAAAAACATTTCATCTTCTACGTTTTTCTCCAACCCATTAGCACAAATATTACTTCCTGTTAGTTATCACAAAACTTACATGGCTAAAACAGGCTTCGAAACATAACGAATAATGAATTAACTACGAAAAAGCATACAAGTAAAAGATATATTTTAGTGATAAAATGTACCAGTGTTTATTTGAACAACAATCCAAATTTAAGCAATAATTCACTTTCGAACAACAATTTAGATTTGAAGAATAATTCCGATGTTTGCAGCTATTTCAAGGAACAAAGCCATTATCAAAAGTTCTTTATGGTTTTCATAATATTACTGTCCACTATTTTCATTCTCATAATAAATAGAAACTTTTTCAAATACCAAAACGCATACATGATACAATTAAGAATCAATTTAATTTTCAGAAAGTACACATAAACTCCTAAGTACATCAAATAATTTTGTAAATCACACTTTTTGAAATAAATTTTGATTGCAGATTGAAATATAAAATCAGAACAAACCAATTTCTTTCGAAGAGAAATTTCTTAAGTGCAAAAAATAAAGAAATAATACGACATTTGGATAATAATAATAATAATAATAATAATAATAATAATTAATAATAATGATGATGATAATAACTAGCGGAAACATGCGAAAATTTCGTGGCATTTAATTTTCTTTTTTTTCACAATTAAGTTTTATACAACAGTGACTCTGAAGTGATCGTTCAAATTCATTTTTTTTCACTGGAAATAAAAACTTTCAACACTTTATTAAGTTATTTGCATCTGGCCATTTATATAAAATAGGTAGCAAAATTGCAGAAACTGTTTTCATGCCTCAACATTTTTAAAATAGATTTTTATAACATCTATTTCCTTTAAATATGTTTTTGTTTGATTCGTTTTTTTACGGATTATCAACCCTTTGCAGGTTATTCAAAGCCAGAAAATATGTTTTATTTATTCTTTTTGTGGAGGGGATAATAACGATTTCGTGATACAAGTCATACTAATTAAACCCTAGCTGAATGAAGAAGAAGTGGATTCATGCCTTTCACGATGGTATTTGCGCATAAGTGAATCAAACAGAAATTGAAACTCGGCTCTCCGATTCACAATACGAAGCCATTATCCAATAACCACACGCACATCCAAGCTTGCGTCATCTGGTATTCCTAAACGGTCACCCATCTAGTTACTGATCATGTTCGATGCTGCTTAACTTTGGTGATCGTACGCGAAATGGTGTTTCAGTGTGATATGGCCTCCATAACTTTTGCTAATTCTTATTACTGTAACTAATCATTTCGGTTTGGCATATTTCATGTTTCTATGCCATTTCAATGAAGCAGACACTAAACGCATGAGAGCGTTATCGCTTCCTCTATAATGCCTTTCTTTCTAGAAACTTATATATACATCTTGAATGTACGAGTATACCGGAATGATCTTTGCCGGAAGATGAAATAAAAGGTTAGATATTTACTCCCTGTACTGCTGCTACCTGATAATTTGTGGGCAGGGGACAGGGCGTAACGCATGTGTTGTTGTAGCATACCTAAGGACGATAATGGGTATGTCCCCATTCACATAAATAGAGTAGTAAATACTGTATGTTGGTCTACAGTTGGAGATTCGTCTCCAGCTGTGCTGGTCAAACTCTCTTGACTATGTCAAAGGGCAGAGTATCATCTCGGGAAACAGCTACCAGAGCCCGTTTTATACGGGGAAATTATGGCCGAATATACGGGCTCGGATACCCCACATTAAATTCGGCCTTGTGTCACATCTGACCGCATGGGGAGGTTGGTAGCTATTCTAATTCGTCTCAAGCTGTGCTGGCCAAACTCCCTGCCTCCGGACAGAGAGGATCCTAAGACGAAATTATGTGAAAGGGCAGAGTATCCGAGCCCGTTTTATACCAGATCTACCGGGATTTTTGGCCGAGCCTATGGGCTCGGATATCCCAAATTAAATTCTGCCTTGTGCCACATCTGACCGAGTGGGGCAGTTGGTAGATATTCTGCAGTTGTAGATTCATTATGGAATTAACTTGACTCACTTCAAGCAGTTGACTACTTCTTCTACGCGCCGCTGGCGAATCTTATATGTGTTGTTCGTGTATTATCGTTCATTACCAACCTTAGTTTGATTTTTCTATTCAGTAACCTTCCCTAGGTTACAACACTAATTAACTAAGAAACAATTTGAATTATAATATGATAATAATCATGTGCCTTTTGATGGCTGTTGCAGTTACAGCCGATGAAAACGCATCTTCGAAAACATTTAAGAAACAAAGTAAATACAAGGACTTCGAGATAGAAATCAATATAATGTGGTATCTGAAGTTAATTACGTGTTGTTTTTGGCGCTCTGAAGATAATGCCAAAAGGAGCAAACAAAGACAAGGTTATCATAAAAGAAAGAGCAGATTTCGATAATTAAATAAAAACAAATGCTAAGAGACAGAAACACATACAACACATTTCTGGATAGGAAAAGGATCAATGTTAATAAAATAAATGAAAATTATATTCAGTCTATGATTAAATACTTCTTTTTGCTGTTTTTTTTTTGTTTTCAGATTTTGTATAAATTTAAATTGTTATAATTTGTGTCAACTCTTAAAATGACCACACCACAAGAAAATTCATTTTGTGTACTGCAAGTTGTGAGGTGTAACCTTAAAATAATAAACTTTGAACTTTTTCCTCTTCAGTAATGTGTTTCGGTTTCTTAGAATTTGTTTTATTAAATTTTCAAAATTTCTTCTTTCTTTGTTAATAACCCTGTATGGGATTAATACAAAAATGAAATTTGTCAATTAGCTGCTTGATGTTAATGTTTATTAATGTGTCTCTTAGTATTTGTTGTTATTAAATTTTCTAAATCTGCTCTATCTTTTGAATAACCATATATATATATATATATATATATATATATATATATATATATATATATATATATATATAAACACTTATCACCAGTCCAAGAAAGACATTTGAATCACTACCACGCAAAAATTCATTTTATAATATTTTTTTTTGCTCGAGAGGGTCACCAAACCAGAAACCCGTGTAGCAGAATTATGTAAAATAAAATACAATATATATTTTAAAATAAAATTCCACATTTCAACGAAAAACGTTTGCATTTTATCTTCATCTTAAAATATACACTTTTTTCTCGTTAGAACAACTATAACCTCTTATATATATATATATATATATATATATATATATATATATATATATATACAGTGGGTAGCAAAAGTATTTAGCACATTGGTTTTACTTACATATTTAAAAAAATAACAGATCAATTTCAACGAAACTTATAGGAAATATTTAAACGAACATTGTCGATCAAGACATAGAAGGAAAATTTAAAACCACTGTAAAGGATTACTTTAATTAAAAGCGAAAGCAATTTACTAAGGCGAAAGTTGATAGAAAGTGCTTCAATCGCTAGATCATCCACAGTAAATTTGTGTCCAGTTTCTTACAATATTTAACTTTTCTAGGTAGATGTTCTAATATCACAATATATATATATATATATATATATATATATATATATATATATATATATATATAAAAAAAAAAAAAGAAAGAAAACTAAATGAGATTGGATACACTATGTTCCAAGAGAAATTTAAAAAAATAAATTAAATTTAAATGTTTAAAATTTCAGCGTCCCAAAATTTTCAGCGTTTCTTATCCGGGCATAACCAACGTATATCAACAAAAACCTCATTTTAGTCATATGAAGTCCTAAGGACGAAACGATTAACTGAAAAACAATTCGACTTAGTCATCAATTTTCCTAACACACGCACACACACACACACACACACACACACACACACACACACACACACATATATATATATATATATTAGTCAATATGCATAATATTCCCACGTCGATAGCACGACTCGGAGTTTCATGCAATCTTCAGGTGCAAATTACTCACTGGCCGTTAGAGCGTTATGAAATTCGTGTTCTCATGGTGTTCATTTATCATATCTATCATATCTGACTATATATATATATATATATATATATATATATATATATATATATATATATATATATATATATATATATGATTAGATATAACAAAAGGGAGATAGCAAGTAAAGTTTAAAATCATTTAAAATGGCTTACGAAACAAACTTCTAATCAAACGTTACTCTTAATTATATCCTTTAGATATATTTTATACACTTCTAGATCCGTCTACCTATGCATCTATCTATCTATCTATCTATCTATCTATCTATATATATATATATATATATATATATCACAATTAGTTCACAACTATCAATTACATTAATTTTTGTCTTTGCAATTCATTCATGAAGATGATCTTGGATGAGATTGAAAGTAATTGGGAAAATACAAGAAATAACCAAAACTACGGCGTCTTTCTTACTTAGTTTTGTAACAGCACTAAGAAATTGATCCAGGAATTTGAGAGGATTAAAATAAAAATAAATAGACATAATATGTTTAGATTATTCAAACAATCATGCTTGAATTAAGATATATATATATATATATATATATATATATATATATATATATATATATATATGAGTGTGCCTGACTGTGCCATATTTTGGAAGGAAGAGTTCTCAAAATTAGCGTGATAGCTTGATGTTATCTATCTATCTATCTATCTCTCTCTCTCTCTATATATATATATATATATATATATATATATATATAGAGAGAGAGAGAGAGAGATGCATAGAAAATATACATGCGCGTGAACACAGACACACACACATTCACTCTCTCTTCCACACACACATGCACACAGCTAGAGAGGAAAGAAAATAGAAGTCTATATGCACGTGCTTTATTTACATTGATTCATATTAATACACAGGCAGATTTATTTTAATATCTACTTTATTACCCTGTATGCATACACAATGAGATCAAAAGGATGTTTTAAGGGTAACTACACTTATTGATAAGGAAGTTGGAGAAAAATAGATATTGTGGGAATAAGAATCATCGCTGTAGGTGTGGCTATCACGCTAATTTTGAGAACTCTTCCTTCCTAAATATGGCACAGTCAGGCACACTCATATATATATATATATATATATATATATATATATATATATATATATATATATATATATATGTAGGATATTTTCTGTTAATTCACCCCAAAATAAAAAGAGTTTACATTTACTAAAATTCACACCAAAGTCTCCCAAAACGAGGCCCTTTCATTGCACTACGGTTAGGTTGACATTTACGATCACCGCAAATGTGAGCAACTCGGGTGCGTCATTTCTGTGTGGGGTCTCAGTGCGCGCTCATCCCAATAAACAAGCCAAAAACAGATGATTTTTTTTTAATTGTTAAAACGTCCTTGTAATTACCTCGAATATCATCCGCACTTACGAAATGTGAAAAACTCCCTGATTTTTTTTTATTCTGATGTTTGGAGTTGTTGCGAATCAAGCTTAACAAATTTTGATTTAAAACTTATAATTTCAAAAGACTGCCAAAAATTAATAAAAAAAACCCAAAACAAACCAAATTTGATTTAAAATTTATAATTTTTTGCGGGGATTTTTTATTTGTGACATGTAACTTTACATTATTTGGGGTGAACTAATAGAAAAGATCCTATATATATATATATATATATATATATATATATATATATATATATAATGAAATGGACTTAGTCTGGCAATTATTTTAAAAAAAATTTGTTTATACATTATTTTTATAGATACAAATATTTAAGTAAATGCCTAGCTTATAATAATCAGTATTCATTTACTGGCCTCTATGTTCAGACCGGTAATGGTGTAATAAACTACAGAGTGTGTAGTTTAAAAAACAATAGTTTAAACTTGTTAATTAGACGTTGTTGAGTATACCATGGATCGAATATGTGAGCAACGACGAGGTTTTAGAGAAAATGGAAACAAAAAGGGAACTTATACTTAACATCAGGAAGAGGCAGTTGAAATTTCATAATGAAGAAAGATGGCTTGGAAAATCTGATACACACAGGACAGACTGAAGGCAACAGGGACAGAGGAAAACAACGCATAACATAGGGTTTAGGAGAAATAACAAAAAGACAAAATTTATTAAGAGCTACAAAGGACAGGAAATTGTGGAGAGCCATGATCGCCTACTTGCTAAGGGCACACAATGCATAATGAAGAAAAAAAATGAAAAGACAAATAAATAAAGAAGTCTCGTCTGCAGTCGCTCTCCCAC